TCTTTATTGTTTAAAAACCAATTGAACGTTAACAAGTAAGCTCTTTTCATCCAAAATCATTGTTCCTCCGTCGTCTGATTTCTTTTTGATTATAGGACATGCGTTTTTCTCAGGTACATATACTTTTGGGGAATATTGGTTCTCATACGAATAAAATGTTAGGTCTTTGTCTTTCATTTTCACCATTACTATAGCCGTTATTAACGAGCGAATAAGAGGTCATCGTCGAACCAAGTGCAATGGTTACCGCCTGGTGTTGCTCTTCATGTCACTTCCTGCGCTACCCAGCCCCCAGAATTGCATTATGGTCGGGCGACATTATAACGGAACACGTCACATAAATCACGCGGGATGGCACAAGCGTGTCATTGTCCGTGAACGTCCCTTGATCCACGCAAATTGCCGAGATTAGTTGTTAGCGACGAATCGCGAATCAACCCTCGAAAGGTATCCCAGGCCCTCCACCCGTTCGAATTAAAAGGAAACGAGTGTCACTCTATATTTTGACTGCGGATATTATTATTATATCTTTATTGGGAACTATAACTCTGTGCATTTTGTATCAATTATAGTAATATGTAAATCGATTTATAAGGTAATGAATATAATTAATACCTTGTTCAAAATATTTAATTTATTTATTGAATTTATTTATTATTAGTTGATTATCAATTGCCTTGGAGTAAATAAATTGAATATACATATCAGTTATGTTGATGCATTAATAAATTTGGGTAGTAATAAACAAAGAGTTATTTGAATTGCGTACTTGATTTATTTATTGACGTACTGCGTTCCGTCAATATTAAAGTGGAAAAATCGAATTCGTTTTATTCACGGAACTCTATCGAGCTTGTTTATACGAAGTACGTTGTTACGACTACAGGAATCATGGGATGGATATTAATACTAGACGTATTACGTGTAATTGTTTTTTTCCGTCGATGATGGAATGTTGCCGGTCGCATGCAATATCCTTCGTCACGGGAAATATCCTAACAAAAAATATTTGCCATTTTTTATCCATTAAAACATCGCATATACGACTAACAAACATCAATCGTACCTCGGATCGAAATAATATCAAAATACTTATCCGGTTTATTACCATATTTGTTTCCGGTTTTTCTACCGTTGATGTTTGCAAATTACTGTGGAGCATTAATTTACACGACTCGTCGTGCCGATATCGGTTATCGAATAACGATATTCGATAATGGCGGGTTCAGTCTCGTTCACTTTTTCCAATTCGCTTAGCCGAATAACGGAATCGTCGATTAAATAGAAATCGCGTCGTCGCGGTCGCCAATGGTACGGAAATGTTTGCGTTCGAATTAGATCGGCAACCGCATGTGTGCATGCAAATACGCGTTCCCGCAGGTACATCAACTTTGATTGGCAAATAGCGTCGTGCGGCACCCGAACAGATTGGAAAGACTTCGTTTTAATGATTCTTGGCTTTGGGAAAGGTTAATGAAATAAGAAATGTATTATTTAATTCGAGATAATTTGTATCCTATTGGAACGTAAAAAAATATGTATCTATTGCATCTGGTAAGAAGCTGCAAAAGGGAGACCGTAAATTAAGAGTGGAAAATGTGGCCAAAGTGCACGGTTCGTGCCATTTCCCTCTCTGGTCTGTTTGGACTTTTAAGGAGTCGCGTAACAATCCAGCCAATTTATCTTGGAGCTCCGGAGCTGTGCGGGGTCATTGAGCAAGATGAACCTCGATAGGACCTTCGCTTCTCCCTTTTAACCGGTCGCGGGAATTTTTGTTCCAGTCGCGGGAACTTTTCGCTAGGCGGACCCATCACGTCCATTTACATTTCGGTCGCGTAACTCGTCCCGCAGTGATTGATTTACCCAAGCGGATGGCGGGACTTCGCTCTCTCGTTTGTTCAAGCTTTAACCGTGTTAACTTTTAATTTTCCGCGGAGGTCGCTATTTGGCCGTGGAAAAACTGCGTTACCAATTCTTTCTGAACTTTTTCTGTTAGAGGAACAAGCTAAAAATTATAAGAGGTGAACTGCAGTGTTCATCATTGAAATATAAGAAATTGACTCTAATAGTGATGACTGGTCGTAAATATAATAGTAGCAATTGAAGTACCGAAAATACTGTATCACGAATGTTTACTTTTGATACACTAAACTGTACGGGAATAATTAAACGATAGAGAAAGTTCTTTCATTAAATGTTGAGGACATAATTACCTAAGCACGTCACCACTGATAGGAATTAAGGTA